GTCACTCTAACCACTTCTGACGAAGGTTTTGGTGCGCAAGATGCTGGGCCAGGAAGCAAGAGTGCCCGCAACCTGGGAACTATAGTCCTTGGCTTGTTTGCAATTAGCTCCAAATCAGGTGGCGGCGATCCCTTGATGCGGCTTTGATGCGATGAGAAGATCAATCGCCTTTTTTTCGCACGCGAAAAAAACAGAGCTGCTGTGCCATGGTGCTGAAATAACAATCAACTTTGAAACTGCCAGATTCTAGAAAGTAGTGCAGCAACACTTGCTTAGCACTGGGGCGTGTGTGTGACACATGAAACTGTATGATGCAACACCATGTGTTGTCAGATGTGGTGAACAGCCAGATGAGTGTCATTACAGTCTGTATCATCACACACGAAAGACCCTTTGTGGTTTAAATCCTTTGTAAACGCCATCATGGTCTGTATCGTCACAGCAAAGGACTGCTGGATTCTTTGTACGTCTAGCTTGACGCTCCATAAGCAAGCGTCATTATAAGCTGCATCCTCATACGAACATGTGTCTGTGTTCTTTTGTTATAATGTTATAAGCCGTTATATGGCAACCGCTTGCGTGTGCTGCATGATTGCTGTTTCATTACAGGTCTGGGGTTGTAGAGGTTCAGGCCCCGGAATTGCGACAGCAGCTGAAGTTGCAAACTCAAATGAGGAAGAAACTGCGAAGTCACAGGTGGTCGGATAGTGCGGAAGTGCTGTAAATACCGTGCAAAACGCAGGTGCTGTCAAGCAGGTTTTAGCATTCCTAAAACTTGAAGGGCGACATCTTATTATTATTCAAAAAACAAAGACGCCAACTGTACATTGCTCGCCAACACCCCCCCTCAAGCCGGGACCTCGGCGTGGGAGGGTTTGCTTTTGAAGTGGTGTGTGATGTGTGCTGTCATGCAGGGCCGGACGGGAAAGCGACCAAGCCCCCGACACCGTAGATTCGGTCTGAGGAAACTTCATCTCGCATATTCCTGCGCTGTCGCGATGCCACTCATGGCGCAAGAAGTTCCGCCGCTCTGTAGCGCAGTCAAATTCTAAGCGACTCCATCCTGACACCGCAGTTTCGGCTTGAGCAACAAGCAATTCGACACTCGTGCGCCATCCCATCGCCCCTGAGGTCGCAAGCAGCTGTGCAGATCTGTAGTCGATCCGGCAAACGCCGTGTATTGTGCTTGCGGATTAAGGCAACCGCTGTTTCAATCTTTTACAAGATGAGCACCGGCTCCTCAGCAGCACACGATCCCAGGATGTAGTTAATATACTTTGTGGAGTAATTAGAAAATATCCACGGAATCCCAGGACTTGCGCCCTGTACCGACGCGCCGCGGTCAGGCAACTATCTTATTCTAAAATTTTCTGGCAGTGCAATGATTCCTGCAGGTGTAAGCGGGTAAGAAGTCATCGTTCATGTTCTCGACCTAATGGTTTCTGCACGACAGGACCGGCCATCGGCCGTTCTTTGGGAGGCTGGCGAATCCTGGCTGCACCCAAAGAACCATGTCACGCTGCCAGCAGAGTTTCACGGGGCACAGCTTAGTCCGAGAATTTGAGGTGAGCTGTTCCCGAACAGCTATTCGTACACCTTTTTTAATGGCAACCGGGTCGCACAAGAGTTTCCATTGAAGGAGTACGCAGATGCGCACGGATGTACATAATCTATGTCATCGCAGGGTCGGTTCCCTCGAGCCTGCCGAGCTCGACCACGAAGAATCGATCTTGGTGTGACGTGGCATGGTTCTAGTGTAGTTCACCACATCTAGAGTCAAAAATCTTGGACTTCCAGGCGATCGGCTGATCTCATCCATAACTACGAGACTTGCCGACGAAAGCACTTGGACGGTCGTGGGCAGACACCGTGTCTTGGTGGCCGAGTAACTAACACCCAAAAATCAGCACTGTCTTTTCCCAGTCTGCTCTGAAGATTGAATTCTCAGGTAGTGCTCCCGAGACTCAGAAGCAGAAGCACGTGTCTTCCAGTCTCGGTGTTGGTGCCTTGACACGAAAGTTTCATCAGGTTCAACTTTTTCTGTGTTGTGCTCTTCGATGTCAGGCCTTCATCCGGTGCGGTCCAGCACCTCGACCACGCCGTGGGCGGATTTGCACCCGCCACCTTCATTTTGCTTCTCCACGCCATCAAAATCTCCGCAAACCAAAGGCTTTGTTTTGAAGCCTTCCTTTGGCGGCAAGAGCCGGCGCCACAAGGGCGGATCCTTCAACTACGGCCCGGTCGAATGGCACTATACCCTCGGCGCCGGCCCCGCCAATCTCGGATACTACAAGCGAAAAGAGATCTTGAGAGGCAACAAGACGAAAAACAAGCACCCCTTGAGCGCCCGAAGCCCGACAAGCGTTTCTGCTGGGCCCCGGCCTTATTCTGAAGTCTTCTAATCATGTATTTTGCCCATCAGAATATTTTGCTTGAAACCAAGGGAAGTGAAGGAGAAGACTGATGTTCAGGAGGATGCTAGGAACTCAAGAGTGCTTGCGTTTGTGATGTCAGTTGTATGACACAAGCTCGTCATAGGAAGATCACGTCGAGCCGTTGACAAACCGGCGCGAAGAGACGCAGGAAAGATGTTTCACGATACTGTGTCTTTCGTTTCTGTAGATGAAGTTCTGTCAGGAGACAATTCTGGAGCATGGCTTCTACTACAGGGGTCAGTGGATCACCACCACGGGCTCGGGGTTGTATGAGCAGAACGATTGGAGACACTCGCAGACATTTCAGATTGATTTATGTACGTTGTTTCGTTGTGGCACGCCGCTTGCTGTTGCGACAAGACAGCGCAGGCAAGTGCTTCATGACGGCCATTTTCAATCGGCTCGCAAGCACCAGCGTGCTGGAGCCCACCTGCGATGAGGATATTCCTTCTTTGAGATGCCACAGGCTAAGTTAAGTGTTTCACGCAAGACTTTTCAACCAAAGTAACAAAAAATGAAACGCGTGAGGCTACAACGTGCACTTTGGAAGCAAGCTCGATGGCGGGGGACATGGTGGCCTCCACGTGCACGACGCTTCTGGCTGGAGCATCCTGTCAGCAGCAGTATTCCGTTCGAGAGCCAATATGTCATGAAGAAAATAATAACTGATTCCTTTGGTTGACGTGCAGGCGACGCCTTCGTTGGATCTTTGGTTGGGCAGATCCGCAAGCGAAACCTTACTTGTAGGTTCAAGTACAAGATCTTGCCAGAGCTCCAGAGATGAAGCTTGACCGCATGGATCGTTTTTAGTTTTCGCGAATGAACTTGATGACAGCAAACCTAGGTTGCAGTGCTGGAGCGGCCCTCAGCCAGCCGACTGCGCGGCCAGCTACAAGCAGGACTGTTTATAAATAAGCAGCTCACGCACATAGGTTTTGCTGCAGTTTTGTGCGCTTGTGGCGATCGTCCAGAAAAGAGTTTTCAAAACTGGACTGGCCATTGGTTCAGGAAGTCTGGCCCGAAGAAGATCAAAGTCTTTCGTCCGTCTCCCATGGACAGGCCTGAGGAATGCATGAATTTTCAAGCAGACATCTTCCTATAGATACTCTTATAAGCTTCGTTGTATTCCCAGCTGAAATGACAGGTACGGCCACGTGCTTTCCCACCTGCTTTTCCAGGACGAGAAGGGCCACTCGTCTTCTGACCATAATCAAGCTTTTTCCTGACAGATATAACTTACGAGCTCGTGTTGTACGCCTTCGTTCTACGGCGATGTTAGAAAGGCCCTACGCGATATCTTCAACCCTAGAGATCTTAAAGCTGTACAATAATCAGCCATAGTTAAGCTAGCGGTTATAGATCATGTGGCCCTTTTAAGGAACGCAGCAGTCATCTCGGCGGACGCAGTGCTGTCTGGTCGACAGCCTCCGATCCTTGGGGGCGAAGGTGCCCTACCTCGAGGACGGCCCCTTCAGTATCCGACAAGGCAATGCCTGGCTGGAGAAGCTGAGGCTTCTCGACTATATTATATTGTTTTTTGAATACAACGTCCAAGCATAAGAATGCTGCAGCAAGCACCATTATTGCTTTGAAGCTTTATCAGAGCAGGGCGCCGAAGCAGTAGTACGCATTGAGATCTTGAATCCTGCCCTATCAGCAAAGGAAGAGCATCAGACCGAGCTCCTGGAATGACCTTCTGCAGAAGCCGGGCAAGTACATCCTCGCCTACGAGCATCACTTTGTTTCTGCTCGACACCAAGAGGATGAGGTGTTAATCAACATGGGAGGTCGCACACATGAGTTTGAGTCCTTCCAGCTCAAGCGTCAAGACCGTGCCGTTCGACGCCACCCTGCCACCGGCAAACTATGTGTCGACAACACCCGACTCGACCATGTGTTCGAGCTTGTTGACCATGTCGAGCCAGCTTTGGTTGCAGACTACTCAGGTGGCAAACTTGTCCAAGAAGCTGCCGTGGATTTTGAAGAAGTGTGGAACCAGCTTCAACTCCAGCGGCAGGAAATGGATGGTGTGATTTTGCGTCATCCTCAGCCGCAGCACATCGCGAATGATCGCAACCCAGATCTAGTAGAAGCTGCCGCGGATTTTGAAGAAGCATGGAACGAGCTCCAACTTCAGCGGCAGGAAACAGATGGTGTGATTTTGCGTTATCCTCAGCCGCAGCGCATCGCGAATGATCACAATCCAGATCTAGTTTCCAACAGCGACAGCGAGGAGGACGGCTTCTGGGATCTTCGCCCGGACTGGCTCGAGCGTTTTCGAGCTCGAAGACAGCAATCAGAGAATCGACCCTTGATGCCACGACTTGTAGTACGTGTGGTAGAAGTGTGTTAATATTCGTGCTTAGATGGAGCTATGCATGCAAGCATCAAACCAAAGCGTCGCTCTGATCGAACTAAGGAGAGATGCTGCAGCAAAACGAGTTGGTTCATCGCCAGGCCTATAGTCTATTGCCTGTCAGAAGAGTCATGACCACCAACAACGTTCCATTCGAGCAGTTTGCTTCCAGCTCATCCATTTCTCGGCGGCGCATCACAATGGAGTACTTCGGCGGTGTCCTACCAGGCTTGGTGGATGGACAGCAGCTGGACTATGCTGGCGGCAGTTGGATAAGTGACGAACCTTATCCAAGTGCTTTGGATTTTTTCAATAGCCAAACAGACTTTTTTCAGCATGAAGCGGACAAGCATGTTGCAGTGGTTGTGAAAGTCATGCGAGAGCATTTGGATCTCTTGCGGACGTCGCCGTTGGCTGTGGCATTTTTACCAGATCCTCGTTTTCGAAACTCGATATCGAAGAGACTCTGGGAACGCATCATGTACCGAGCCAGGGCAATCTTGGATTTCGTGGAACAGAAACAGCACTACATGCTCTTTGCATTTCTGCACGCAGAGGCCAAGCATGTAAAGGCCGGTTGCAGAAATGCTGTGCAGGACTTGCCACACCCGAAGGAGTACGGCGGCACCGAAGAAGAGTGGCGAACGCTTGCACTGGAGCACGCTCTTCAGCTTCACCTGGATTTAGCCTGGCAACAGAAAGAGCGCGGCGATTTCAAGAAGGCGTCTCGCTCCGAGGACGACTACACCGGAGGGAGCCTTTCGGCAGACATCCTCCATGCCTTACCAGGATTCTTCTTTTCCTTTGACTATCTGAAGAATTTAGCCTGTGCGTCTTCTGAAATGAAACGCGCCGTGCAGAACCCACAGCATTGGAACGACAGGTGCATCTCACTCAACTCAGTCGAGTTTACTGATGGTCTGAAGCTGAGATCCATGACGCGGGCCTATATGTCCGCTCGCACCGTGTCTTTAGATCTGCAACAACTTCCTTTGCTAGGTCAGTTTCCAAACAGTATGTTGCTCGAGTGGACTGGCCGGGGCCTTCCACAACTGCGCAACCTGAAAGGCTTCGAATCCGCTGGACCGTTGCTGGGCACTGCCTTGTTCGACGTAATCCTCCCCCCCAATGCAGTGGGCATGTACATTGGCGTTCGTGACTGGGGAGATCGAAGCCAAGGGAAGCAATCGTTCTTCCGCTTCGATAATGTTTACACGGACAGTCAAAGACTTTCCTTCGCTTCGGGCGACCAGCCACCGCAGCTTCACCACAAGCCACAAAGAGTGCCTCTGCAACCTGAGCGGCATCATCGCGTTTTGCTTCGATGGAAGCAAGACGTGATGGAGCTCCTTATCGATGGGGTCGGAGTAACCAGAATCCGACCTAGGGAAGGTTCACCGGCACTGCCAAGTCCACTGGCCAAGTTTTTTTTGTGGGTGTACGTTCGGCCTGACACGACGAATATAGGGCAGGAGGTTCGGTATCGTCCTCTGCCATCTCCCATTCAGCACAATGCTTCCATTGCTTGTCTTCTTTGCCACAGAGATCATGATCTTTGCCTACCCAGGTGGCGCGTGTGTCCCAACTGCTGCACATGGATCTGTGCATCGCACGTACTCCAAAACCCAACAGACATGTGTCCACGCTGCTTCAATCAACTATGGGACTACGTGGGTGGTGAAGATTCCCAGAACCATTGCAGCATGCCTGTGTGTTGCTTGGCTGATATGTGCTGTTACGTGAAAGCTTCGCGGAGTGTGGAAGTTGCCGTGCTTTTAAGCTTTTCAAATAGTATCTGATCAGGTTGTGTAAAGCCCTCAGGTCGAGTGGACATGAGATGCAAAGTGGAGGAGTACGAAGGAGGCGCCGTGTTGGATGAGCTGCTCGCGGAATTGCCAGGATTTTACTTTTCGTTTGACTATCTCAAGATGCTAGCGTCCACTTCCAAGACAATGCTTCGCGCCGTGCGGGATCGTCGACACTGGCAAGGCAAGCTTGTGACAATGAACACTGAAGAATTTCAACTTCCCATGAAGCTGAGATGGATGATGGAAGCTTACATGTCTGCACATGTCGTCACCATCAACGTTCGTCAGCTCACCATGTTTACAGTTTTTCCTCACAATATGCTTTTGGACTGGAGCGCGACAGGCATGTTGGGCGGCCCTCGTCCTGCAGTTGGGCCAAACATGACAGGGACAGGGTTTCAGTCAACTGGTCCTTTGATGGGAAATGCTGTATTTGATATCATTCTGCCGCCCAACACAGTTGGCATATATATTGGGGTCCGAGACTGGTGCGATTTGCGTTCTCGGACGCATGCCTACTGCATGTTCACGAATATTTTTGAGAATGCGCGGGCCTCCTTTGGATTGGGAGATCATCCATCTCAACCACACTTGAGTGCCCGAACAATTCGGTTTCAACCCGACCACACCCATCGCATCATCTTCCGTTGGAATCCGAGAACGTTCCAGATTTCGCTGGATGGCGTGAACATCGCTACAGCCCGCGCTCGTGAAGGAGCTTCAGCTGCGCCATGTGCTTTGGCAAAGCTTTTTGTTTGGGTCTATGGCCGGCCTACCAGGAACTTTGTCTTGCTTCAGTATCGCCCAATACCATCTCTTGTCGACAACAACGCCACAATCAAGTGCGTGCTTTGCAACAGGGACCACGGGCTGCATCTGCCGCGCTGGTGTGTCTGTCCACATTGCGACACATGGGTTTGTTCGGTTCATGCTGTGCACTTTCCTGAACGACTGTGCCCACGATGTCCGAACCAGTTGATTGATTACGTCGGTGGAAGTACTGAAACGGAAGAGCCTTTCCGGCATGCTGTGGACTACGTCTACAGCAGAGAGCAGAAACTGCAGAACGGCATGACCTTTACTGCGTGGCTTCGTTTGAGCTTCCAGCGATCCGAAGCAATCCGTCGACAAGAGAAAAAACGCAGGGCCGATGGAAGACAAGTGCAGCAAACGTTGTTCCAGAGGCAATGGCTGTCGGGTCTCAGTCCTGCATGTTGTCCTACGTACGGACCAAGGACGTCGAACATTCGCATCCCATTGAGGTCTGCAATCGTGCGTCTTCGTTATTGCTGCTGTCTGTGCCGGCTGATTTCACACATTTGCCAAATGTGCAGCCTGATTGCAGCCTTTTGTGTGGTCTTCAAAAGCACGAGCGGGACAACCGAATTCAGTTTGTGTCCGAGACCCACGTCTACTATGTGGATGGTGTTGCTATGAAGACGTCCGTGACCGGCCTGGTTCACAGATTCGCGGAAAGGTTCGACGCAGATGCGGCAATCGCCAATATGGCAAAGAGTGCACGGTGGCCACGACCTGAGTATTCCAGGGCGCAAGACAATGGCGTGCTGATTCCACTAACTCCCGATGAAATCAAAAAGATGTGGGCTCGGAATGCCGCAGAGGCGGCTCACCAGGGTACATGGATGCACCTTCAGATAGAAGTCTTGTTAAACGGCGGCTTTGTTGCCGGCGTCTGGCCAGAACTGACTTTGTTTGAACAGTTCGTCAGAGAGTTCCCGTGTCCTTTGCTGGCGTTTCGGACGGAATGGTGTATATTTGCTGAGGAACACCGCCTAGCCGGATGCATCGATTTCGTGGCTAAATCATTCGATGACAGTCTTGTTTTGTTTGACTGGAAAAGAACCAAAATGCTGCATTCCAAGTATGACAACCCTTGGCGACGTATGCAAGGACCTTTGGGTCATCTTCCTGATTGTGCTGGATGGCACTACCGCCTCCAGCTCAACCTTTACAAACACATTTTGGAAAGGTATTACGGGTACACTGTTTCCGCAATGTACGTGGTGTGTTTGCATCCCGACAACGCAAACACTGGCCCTTTCTTGGACTTGGTACCGAATCTCACCAATGAAGTTTCCGCGATGTTGGCGGCATATGGAAACACCTCAGACTTGCACTGGCAAGAGGTGTCCGGAGGGGCTGATCCAGCTGAGGGCATGGCTTCGCAGTCTTCGTTCTTCGCAGCCATCGATGCCGACATTGCTGAGGCAGAGCGTGTCTTGGACGAAGAGGAGCTGGCGGCCAACGCACCAAATCCGGCAGTAGAAGCAGCGGACCCGTCTCTGGATGTGGAAGCTGCAAACGAACAGGAAGCCATGGACTGCACAGCCTTAGCTATACCTTGTCGGGGCCTTCCTATGGAGGCGGTCGAGTCTGCCAAAAGAAGACGTTTGATGCCGGGAGCATCAACATCCAGCAGTGCATTCGATGAGCTGTTCGACATAACAAAACAGGCCTGCCGCAATTCTTTGGCCTCCTGTCCTGATGCTGACGACCAGCAACCAGCCACAACCGTGAAAGAACACGCTATACGACTACTTGGTTACGTACGCAGGAAGCAGTCGACCGGTCAGAGGACATGGTTCGTTTGGCAGCCGCTGCAATCAGTGTCTACAGAACTCGCCTGACAGACATCTTCGTCCGTGATTTTGTCAGTCTCATCTGGATCATTGAGGGCGACAGATACATACGCACACACCAAGGAGTTTGCTATTTGTATCACAACGACGGAGCATTCGAGCCATACAATGGTGTTCCTCCAGAGTCAACGTTCTACAGGTTGAAGAAATTTTTGTTGAGATTGGAAGGCGCATTTCGACTCATGTTGCCTGGTACAGAGCGCAGCGACTCGGGCATCGTGCAAGAAATCGCTAAACTTCTGTCATCTTACAATCACGATGAGGAGTTTTTAGCCGCCTGCGAAGATGCCGCTGTCATGGCGGATATGGGAGGAGTACGCCGGAAAGGTCGAAATGAACAAGAAGGTGAAGTCTCTCCCAATTCTGGCTGGCCGGAAAAGGTTGCCTACATGCTCGCTAAGGTTATTTCGCCGCTCCAGAAAGACTTGCTTGAAGAAAGACTCTAGATGTCACCGCTTTATAAAATGTTATATGTGATTGTGGCTACATGAACAAGTGTAAGAGTACATCGTCACATCATGCTTTCTCTATGATGTGACGACATGGAGCTAAGGACGTCTGCTACAGTTCGTGATCCAGTGGTGTGATACTCCCTCGCAGCGGCAATCTGGGTGCGCGTATCAAGATGTCTCTGTGATGTATGACACGACGCCAGAAGAGCACGCGAAGATTGTCACGTCGTCGCCAGAGAATAATCTGTACATCAGAATTCCTTTTCCTTTGAGGCAGTCACTACCTGATGCAGTTCTGAAGGCTGCCAGTGAGAGATTACAGAAGTTCGTGAAGGAAACATTCTGGTGCAATCAGGAGTTTTACAAGTGCACACTGGCAGCCATTGCTTTGGCCAAGCGAGGCGAAAACATTGATCGCTGCTTCATTGGCGAATCGTCAGGGGGCACGGGGCAGTCGTTGTTTAGTTGTCATCTTGCGGCGGTTTATGCGCATAACCATCAGTTCATCGATCCCAACATCTTCTACAAGGAGGAAGAGCTTCGCAAGAGACTGGAACAGTTTGCGCACTGTGTCATAGTTACCGCGCAAGAAGCTCCCGAAACGAACCGACATTTCCAGCAAGATCTGTATAAGAAATTTATGTCGGCCGACGAGTTGGCAGGTCGGAAGCCATATGGTTATGTGACGAAAATGATGAGAGTTAGCGGTTTCAAAAGGTTTGAAACCAACAAGATCATGTCATTCAAGAATGTTATGGAGAAGAACTTCAACTCTATATACAGACGCTGCCTGGTCTGGAACCCGAAGCCCATTTTCGTTGACGACACCGCATTTGGAGATGGCTACCCTGACCCGCAGGCCGACGGGATCTTCCAAAAGGATCCTACTCTACGCAGCTTCCTTGAAAGCGGTCCTGCCATTGCTGCTGCCATCGTGCAGCAGCATGGCTTTGAATCGCACTTCTCAAGACAGCAGTGCATTAAAACAATCGAGGATTATGCCATGAGTGGACTCACCGAGCGCAAGGTGAGAGCGGCATGTGGTTTGCGTCCACCGGAGGACGCTGGTTTGATTTTTCACTCGTCCAGATTAGTTGCACATGTTAAAGCAAGATTGTTTTTTAAAGGAAACATACTCATTTCATTACTCGGCAGCACTGGCTGATGCGCGCAGGAGCCCACGGTCGAAAAGGAGCAGACCGCCCTCGTGGCCATCCTCAAGCACAACGATGACGAGGCTGACGAGTCTGCGGATCAAGAGGCCACACCTTTGGCAAAAGCACACGTGGCTCTAACGAAGTTTTTGTTGACCACGAAAAAGGCCACGATGACGAAGCCCTGGTGGTCTCGCTTTTCTAAGCCCAAGCTGGGTGTCAACCCTAAAGAAGTAACGTTGGATGATTTGGTCAAAGAAAACCTTCTGCTTCCAGCTGACACAAAGTCAGAGCCAGAAACATTCATTCCCATGATACCGTGTGCGAAGTCTCTGGACGAGATTTTCGAGGTGGGATACGACTCCGAAACTACGTGGATACGGGAACATCTCCATGCCAGCAAGCTGTGGGAAGCGGTTGAAGGCAACCCGGGCCGCGGTGCGAATGCTGAGGTGCTGCAGCAGTTCTACACACAGGTCTTGAAAAAGTTAGAGTCTGGCAAAGGTCGCAAGTCCCAGCACCAGCATGACATTATTGCCGTCTGGCGTTCCTTGTCGGAGAAATTGAGCAAGCACGAAGACTGTGCCCGCGCTGTACTGGAAAAGCTAGAGAATCAAATCTCTGCTGTTGCTAGTTCACAACCAGCGTCACAACAGTTAGCAACTACGCCTTCTCGACGCCGTCGCAAGAAAATGCCAGCGACTGCCGAAGTTGAAGATGCACCTGCATCTGAAAGCAATATTGTATCTGGAAACCCTTTCCAGAAGGACTCAGGTTTCGTTGGTATTGATGTGCCGTACAAGTACAAGTTAGATGGCTTGCGTTCTCGCAGATACGGAGATCGCTTTTCAGTACAGAATCTGGGCACAGCATGGCAGGCTGTTGCGCTGCACGAGACCATGGACCTGGACATTGAGAACTGCTCCTTCGCGCTGCTGTATCAGATTATGACAAAGTTGAAGCCGCAACACCAAGCTTGGCCACAGGTCAAAAACACACTACGTGCTTGCAGTGAACAGCGAAAAGAGATCATTGAGAAGAAGCTCAAGTTGAGTTTATCGGAAGGCAAACTCCTTATGCAGAAGGTACTCAATGGCGGTGTGCCTCCCGACGAGCTCGCAGAGAATGAGTTTATACAGGAGCTGCAGCGAGCATCGTTGTTCTGTCGCTGGGTCGCCGCCTCAACGCTGAAGGATTTGGTTTGGACAAGTCTTTTGCGCTCCAAAGACAGACCAGATGTCTCGGTTCTTACCTATTTCTGGAACGTTGCAGAGGATGTAGTGCTGGAAGCCTGGCTTGGGAAAGTGATTCCTCTGGGAAGCAAGCATCTCTCGCTTCACTTTGACGGCATCAGACTGGATCGCTCCGTTGCCCACGGTGACGTAAACTCCTTTTGTCAGAGCTGTGCCGAAGCCATCTACAACGCTACAGACCTGCTTGTCACAATTCGAGAAAAAGAGCATCACAGTTTCAGTGGCTTCTTGAAGAACATTACCGACAGTGCAGCAGTTGAGTGTCCTGAAATTCTTTGTGAAACTGGAAACTGCATACTGGCAGCTCTGTATCACCTTGGTTTGCAGGAGTCGGCACTCTCTATGGCCTCGATGACCGAAGGGCCCGAACACGCGTTTTTCCGCAGACGCCGGCAACGAAAGTATGTAGACGTTGCCGAGAAGCTGGAGCTCTCGATCTATCCCCGAATACAACCAAGCGTTCTCAAGTCTGGGCAAAAGGTTTTGCTTCACATTGCCTACGACGGGAATCCACACTGTGTGGCTTTGGAAATGCTAACAGGTACTCAAGTACGCATTACAGACGTGAAGGTCAGCTACAACTGTTCTGCGCAACATCTCCTGCATATGTTATCGGCAGCCAGTGACCGCAAGTACATCTTGTTTTTCCATCTGCAGCAAAAGCCAGGTAAAAATGCAGGCGATGCACTAGACGATGATTATGAAAGTCTGTTGGAAAGTATGGCAGGTGGAAGCGAGGAAGATCTTGAGGATCGCTTCGTTTATGACTTGGACGTTCAAGAAAATGCCGACGAAGATGACGATGATGCGTCCTTGGCCGACGAGAGCATTACCCAAGTTGGTGATGAGTTACTGCAATATTTGAAGGATGAAGTTCAGAAGCACCTGAACGGCTGCCTTCGACGACGTGGCAAGAAAAAACAGACTGCTCGTTGTCCCTTCTGTCCGTTCCGATCGTGGCCGATCAGCAAGAAGGCACGAGTTCTGGAACATGTGCGTCTCTATCACTCACCGAGAAAACAGTTTGTTCCAAGTGGCACAAAGCAATTGAAGCTGATCATTGCTCTTCATGACTACGACCAATGTCAGGGTCGTGATCGAGGCAACTACCTTTATCGGAGCAGCCGAATTCTACGGAACACCGTCACTCCGCCACTATCCTCGAAGCATGTGTTGGTGGATCGTGAGCTGAGACTCGTACTCACAGCACAAGGCCCTGAATTCTGGAATGTTTTGGCAGTGCAGCAGCAACCTTTGCGACGAGTTCGAAATTTATACTACACACATGGCTTTGGTCAAATCCTTTACCGAGAGATGCTTATTTGTAAAGCCAAGGTTTCTAGGCCGCAGCATGATGCAAGTTTTTGTCGTCTGCATAGAGATTTTGCGCGGATGCGTGTTCGTATATATACGCGGACGCGTGTTCGTATATATTGTCTAGCATCCCGTCAGGTCTATGCGTTTCATGCACGCATGATGACGCTGTTTTCGCCAGAGACTTGCAGTTTGTTGCCGCGTCACAGCAAGCACTGGTGGCCGATCGTGGAAGATGTTTTTATGTCAAAGAAGGCGAAGGAGCTTAAGTCTCACATGCTGGACGAAATGCTGTTCCATGAAGAGTTCCAAGTCCTCAGCATGGATGCAACGCTTCGCTGCTGTCTTTCGCTTATGGGACAGGCGCATCCCAGAGCTCGGAGGGAAGTGAAGGACTCGGCAGTTTTCGTTGGGGACGAGGCCTTGACTCGAGCATCCTGATTTTGGTTATCGTAGTACCTTTCTTTTTTGACAAACAGACATAGTTCGAAAGAGCCATCTTCGATAGAGAGAAACGTGGGCCGAGGTGCTTACCTGCCGTGGCCGCAGCAACGCCGTGGTGCTACTGCAAGCAACCTCCTCGGATGAAACTGACGTGCTGGTGCAAACTCTTGCTGAGCACTTACATCCGAAAGCCCTGGCTCAGATTCAGTTTCTCTCAGTGGACAACCCGTCACAGAAGCTTTTCCGGGAGGCGAAAACTATCTGTCCAAATCTGCAGCTGCTGGCACTCGATCCAACGCACCTTGCCATGACATGCGAGTATGCATCAAGCAGAAAACGCACGGCGGCAACCAAATGTTTGCGTTTGATCCTCCGCAAACTTACTGCGCGCGACAATCTTTCGGCTGCTACATGGGGGCCTGTCTTCACCGGCAGTAACGCCAAACCTCTTACCCGTGAAGAAGAAAAGGCTCACAATCAGATTGAAGACAAGAGCATGCGTAAGGTGCAGGCAGAAAGCATTTTGCAGAACCTGGATCCTGCGAAGCCGTTTCTGCTACGCTTGGACTGGATTCAAGCTCTCGCGGCGTTGGCATCCGTTCATCGCAGCGAGATGGACAGACTCGCTCCGGGCCCGAACAGGAAGATCTACCAGTTGCTGCACACAGCTTCGGCGCCGAACAGATCAGGTTGGTATTTCAACAATCTCATCATGCGGCACCTGCTTTCAGCGGAGCGGCTGTCGATGATGCCCATTGGCACAAGCAGCAATGAAGCGCTCCATCACGAAATCAATAATTGGTTTCGGGAGACGCAGAAACTTCATAAGGCCACGTTGACGCTGAAGCTTGAAATAATGCAGCTAGCAAAGGTTCTGACACATAACTCTGCCATGTATAAGCCGACCACACGTCAGATGCCTGAAGCCGAGCTGCTTGCACGTACAGCAAGTCGGCATCTGTGGACCGATGGCGAGTGGTCGAGTTGGTGTTCAGAACTAGAGGATCTGCGTATGAAATGCAAGGCAGACCTGACCTTGCATAATGACCGCGAGAAACAGCGGCATAAAGTGAAGCAGATGCGTTTAAAACGTCCTGCAAATACTGATGCGTATAAGAGTGTCAGTAGGCGCACTCCAACTACTCTATGCAGACAGGACAGTTTGCGCAGGGCCGGAGTGCGCGGAAGAGTGCCGGTCGTGCCTGACGATTGACGGCAGGCGTTGCCTCACTGAAAGAATTTTATCTTCTGCCGTAACCAGCGTCGAGAGTAGGGGCCGGGCGGAAAAAGGATGAGTTTCGCAAATGGTTTCGGAACGTTGTCTTGGTTTTCATGCCAGCTAAAATGCAGCATAGATGTTTGGACATGTTATTACGATATAGATTGTGGACATTCCTTGTGTCTACGGTGTGTAGCACACGGGTGTGCGAAGTGACAACTCCTTGCTTTCATGCTCACACCGATCGACACTCGAGGATCTACGGCTGTCGATCTCCACGAACATGTGTATGTCCGTGGCCATTTTGGTATAAGATTGGTATCTTGAAAATTTTCTTTTCCCGCCCTCCCTAGCCCGATAGGGTGTTTACTTACTTATCTTCCTCTGCTTTCGGTCTGCGAGAACACGACCGGGAAAACGGTCGGTCCTCTAGACTGCGAAAGACACTTCTGCAAGAAATGCGAACACATCGAGCAGACTCCGAAGTAAGTCCGAAGAGCGCAGACTACGCCACCGTTAGAAATGGTTTCGGGACGTTGCCTTGATTGTCATGCCAGCTACTAGTAGTAGGCTTAAGTCGCCCCATCTTGTGTAAAGTCGTCTCGCACGAGCGTGCACATGGGGCTAGCGCACACAAGCTCTTAAGAACATGTAGCTGGAAGTCATCTTAACCCGGCAAGCACATGGGGATTCCGAAGTAAAGTGTGGGAGCATGTTGTGTGGCGACATTGAAAACCTAACGAAAACGCCAAGCCCTATTCCTGATTTGCATGGATGTGTTTCTCAAAAGTCGTCTCGTGCGAGCGTGTAAATGGGGATTCCGCATACAAGCTCGGGAGTAGTTTACACACCGTCAGCCGTGAACACCCACCTGTGCACACCCGAAGGATGCAAACAGTAGCGAGGGGCACGGTTTGCAACCATGATCAGAACAAAGCTCCGTGAAACCCAGCGTGTACATGCAGTTTCCGCTCGTTTCGAGGCTTGGATAGCTCCCACTAGAACGGGGCGTGCACCTGCAGTTTCCGTTTGTTTCAGTGCACGTTTGCTTCACTTTGTGCGAAGAGTCTCGTGCCACGCGCAGATTTGACATGTCGGGCTGTCTCGTTTATAACCGGCGTGCAGTTGCGGATCCCGGTCTGTGGGTCGACTTTGTCCGGATGGGTCGACTTCGCACGAATCTGGGCGTGAGCTTGGGGAAGGCCGACTTCACACAACCTGGGTCGACTTAAGCCCAGCGCTTGTAATATAGAGCGTAAAGGTCATCGACGATTACACATGTTATTACAATATGGATTGTGAACTGCCCCTGCGTCTATATCTACACTGTAATACATGTTTCAAACATTTTTGTGTGTGTGTGTGTTCGTAGGGGCAGTACTCAATCCATAGATGCAGGCACGTATGTACGTAATACACACGCATATATATATATATATATATATATATATATGCGTGTGTGTATGTACATATGTATTAGCATAATACAACATCTTATTTTGTATGATATTTTGTTATATACTGCATAAAAGCTTCACAGTATCACATATTGTGTTATATTATCTTCCCATCAAGCACATTATATTGATACTAGCTTTATTATTGTATCATTTTATATGTTGAGCCGAATGCCAGAGTAGAGCTGTACCCTGACGGGAGTATCGTGCTGCACACTGCATCTTGTTGTCCTTGAGAACAGAACCCTAAACCCACGGCAAACCAATCAGTAGACCGATCAAGAAGCCACACCCGAACATGGGCTATTGCTTGCCTCTTGCCGGGGGTACCTAATATCTGTTTTATAACTAATTCAAAATAAGTATCTTAGTGTCTTTGTTTCAATTCAACCTAAACCACGATACCGCATGACCTTGGGTCGGGAAGCTCTAGGAATCGTGAGTATGATAAGCAGAACGCTATAGTCTGCCTGGGCACTGAGAACAGCAGCCAAGCCGCTGTTGTAACCCGGCCTGCCCGAAAGACCCTTCTGAGTGTGGATGTGGAGCGTTGCCTAACAGCGCGGAAGTGCTGCTACTGTTATTGGACAGTACTGCTGTTCGGATCACGAGGAAAGCTCAGATCACGGAAGAAAGCTGTTGCTGGGCCCCCTGGAGTGGGATGAGGCAGCAGTGACCCGGAGTATGAGCAAGGACGATTGGAAGAGCTCAGATCACGGAGGGAAGCTGTTGCTGGGTCCCCTGGAGTGGGATGTGGCAGCAGTGACCCGGAGTATGAGCAAGGACGATTGGAGGAGCTCAGATCACGGAGGGAAGCTGTTGCTGGGTCCCCTGGAGTGGGATGGGGCAGCAGTGACCCGGAGTATGAGCAAGGACGATTGGAGGAGCTCAGATCACGGAGGGAAGCTGTTGCTGGGTCCCCTGGAGTGGGATGGGGCAGCAGTGACCCGGAGTATGAGCAAGGACGATTGGAGGAGCTCAGATCACGGAGGGAAGCTGTTGCTGGGTCCCCTGGAGTGGGATGGGGCAGCAGTGACCCGGAGTATGAGCAAGGACGATTGAAAGAGCGGCAAAGTTCAGCGACCAATCTCTGGGAGACTGAAAGCAGCAGTCGAAATATTCATGTTCGGCTTCATAATCAAGCCAATAACTTATCCATTCTCAAGCTGGGCAAAGTTCAGCGACGAATCTCTGGGACATTGGAGAGCAGCAGTCGAAATATCCGTTTCCGGCTTTATAATCGAGCCAATAACTTGTTTCCATTTTGACGCTGGGGTCGTCGTTTCTGAGACTCTCTTTTAACGGGAGAAAGAAAACATGAGAGAGAGGAGGCAGCTGCAGTATGCGTATCAGTATAATTACTTCCTGAGAGAGGAAACTGTACACACAGGAAAGCATTGAATCGGTTAGCTGAGTACGTCTCTGCAAAGCATCGCCACCAAGCTGTGCAGCCTGATTCGGTGAATGCAACTTTGGCGCGCCCGCGTGCCATTTCATGGCTCATTTCTTTCCCTTGAAGCTTCTCTGGGTGGGTGCACGTTCGACACCCAGCAAAGCACGCGAAGAGGCTTTCGAATTACTGCGCAAAGCTGTTCACTTGAGGCGCTGGGCAGACTTCTTGTCTAACGCTCAGACACGAGACTGCGAAAAGACGAGTCTTAAGACAGCTGTTCACTTGAGGCTCTTGGCCAGCGTCTCGTCTGACGCTCAAACACGAGACTGCGAAAAGACGAGTTTTATTGACACCTGAAATTCAGGCCATGGACGTGGCCGTTCAGACGGTCGGAAAGGCAAGTGGCCAAGTAGCCTCACTCGCTGCGAACAATGACAATTCCAGTTGAATTGAGGCTCGGACTGTGCCAAGAGGCACTCTGGCCAAACTCGACAAGGCCGTCGTGATCTCAACCGTCCTAGTTAGTGGCCACCAAATCCATGAACGATTCCAGTTCAAGTGAGGCTCGACCGAAAAGCAGAAAGGCTGTCGTCATCTCAGCCGTCCAGTTGCTCGCCACGCTGCGTCCTCCATTTTTCCGGTGAAGTAATTTTGTACTGAGCAGGTGCGCAGCAAGTGGCTGACGGGCGCCATACCCCCAGCGCACCACACCTTGCATTTTCCACGTAAGCAATGTTGCTTCCAAGGTCCCTGCTGCCTTCGCGAAAGGGCTTCCCGTGGGCACCTCAATTCCCTCACAGCACAGGGAGTTAGCTTGGAACTGCTTCCGCAGGTTCCTGCTCCGCTGACACCCACAGTGCCGGACCGAGGAGAGAGAAACACAGCGAGAGTGTGACAAAGACAAGAACAATCCACAGCTATGCTGGCTAAGCATCAGGTCTTTGTCCTGACCGCTGGCCGCTCGGTACCGGCTCGGTCCTTGATCGTCTCTCTACCTCCATCCTAATTTTTCGAAGATGGCAAGTTGAGGTGGAGCCTGATCATCCACCGCCAGGATGGGTTGGCAGCTCAGCGAAAACAAGAATCAAATGCTCCATTCCAGAAAGCATTCTCGCAGGAGCCGACGGAGGATGGCTCTGCGCTCCCAAGCGAGGTGCAGGCAGCTGCCCTTGCCTCAACTCTTAAACATTTTCTCAGATCCCAAATCCTCGCAGGATGGCGATTTGATCCCGAGCTGGGATGATGATCTGCGAGAGATGGAGGCAGCTGTCTTGGGTACCCGAACTCTTAAACATTTTCTCAGATCCCAAATCCTCGCAGGATGGCGATGGGGTGCCCAACGACCATGAGCTGCAAGAGCCGGTGAAGGCAGCTTTCCTTCGTCCCTAACTACAAACATTTTCTCAGATCCCAAATCCTCGCAGGATGGCGATGGGGTGCCCAACGACCATGAGCTGCAAAAGCAGGTGAAGGCAGCTTTCCTTCGTCCCTAACTTCAAACATTTTCTCACATCCCAAATCCTCGCAGGATGGCGATGGATTCCCCAACGACGAAGAGCTGCAAGAGCCGGTGAAGGCATCTTCTTTCGTCCCTAACTTCAAACATTTTCTCAGATCCCAAATCCTCGCAGGATGGCGATGGATTCTTCAACGACGATGAGCTGCAAGAGCCCGTGAAGGCAGCTTTCCTTCGTCCCTAACTCCTAAACATTTTCTCACATCCCAAATCCTCGCAGGATGGCGATGGATTCTTCAACGAGGATGAGCTCCGAAAGCGGATGGAGGCACCTTGCGCCTGCAAACTTTCCTTAAACTCCGAAACAAACACCGCCAGGAGGCGAGCATGCTCGACATGGACGACCTCGAAGACCTGATGTGACGGCGTCAGCAGCAACACAAAGCACAGCACCAGCACCAGCACGAGCACCGGCCTCAGCACGAGCACCAGCACCAGCACTAGCACCAGCCTCAGCACGAGCACCAGCACCAGCACTAGCACCAGCCTCAAGCAGCACCAACAGCCACAGCTTTAAGCACCGAGAGCCGTAGCAGCACGAGCACTAGCGTTTTCACTTGACTGAGGGAGTGGGTTTCAAAACGTGAGCTGCTTGGGTGGTTGTCGTCGTCATCGCTGTCCTCGTCGTCCTCGTCGTGGTCGTCGTCGTCGTGGTCGTCGTGGTCGTCGTTGTCTTGGTTGAACCTTCGCCTAAACCTTGAACAAAGCCGGATTGCCAAATAGACCCTAAAGGTCCATGCCACAAACCCCCTAAATCCTAAACACCTAAACCCTAATCCCCTGAAAACCTCGCCTAGGCTTGACCGCGTGTGAGTGCTGAAACCCTAAACCCCTAAACCCCCTAAGCCCTAACCCACCGGAGGTCCCAAACCTCAGATCCTGAACTAGAGAAATTTCGGCCCACAAGCTCTCAAAGTTCAGCTTTCCGGATCCCCCATGCAGAGCAAGACCCAAAGCAGTCCCAATACACCCGACAGTAACAGTAGAGTAGAAGCCCAAAAGTTGGAAACCCCAAACCCTCCATCCTTAAGAGTAATGTATAGGGAATCCCAGCACTATTTGGCCTTAATCCAGATTCCATAAAGTTGGAGGTAACTGTAGGATTCAGGGTTTCTTTTCTCGGCGACCTTGAATATGAATTTGGAGCCCCTCAGGCCAGGAGGCACAGTTTTATAGTATCCTTAAGGGAGGGGGGTCCAAGGGGGGCATATAGCCTAGTGATCCCTTACAGTCCCCTAAGGATTCCTTATACCCTCCCCCCTTTGAACCACCAGCCCTTAAGGATCCTATAACAGTTCCCCCCCGGATGCTAGAGGCCTTCGTCCTTACAACAGGTCTTTACTGGGTAGGGCTTTGGGACATTTTATATTTTCCCTTATTGGGCTTAAGAGGATCTTATTTACTAATATTTTTCAAAGGCTTTAGAAGCCCCACCGAGTTTATTAATTGGAGGAGGGCTTGCGGCGCATACTATACTCAATGGTTATAGGGACCATGATGTGTCAGTGCCAGTAGTACGGGCACAATTACTATTGACTTAACCTTGCTGCTATTACCAAGATCCCGATCGGATAGACGGTAAACCCGATCCATCCTTTGCTGTGCAGCTTCGCATGTTCGTTGTGGTGAAGGTTGGTGCTGTGCAAAATTCGAAGTGCAAGCTGGGAGCACCACGATCACCCTCAACCCAAATCCTACAACCCCAAGCCGCACATGCTACTAGTAGACCCAAGTTCTAAACCCTAAGCCCCCAATCCTAAACCCAAATCCTAAGGTAGGAGGGAAAAACCCAAATCCTAAACCCTATAAGCCCTATGACTCCAAACCCAAATCCTCAACTCCCATTACTTGACTGCAGCCCTGTCAACAACATGTACAAGTCCTCCAAATTTCGACAGCAGAAGTTTAGAGCCTGCTTTTGACACCGACCCCAAAGGGTCCTAAGTAGTGTTATGGGGGAAACTTCCCCAAAACATAACAGTAAATCCTAATATGGAAGCCCCTACATTCTACTATATAGGTACTTTGGACCCTTTGGGGACTACTGTTTGGAACCTAGGGTTTTTGGTTTATACGGGTTGGATTGTCTAGAGGGAATGAGTCAAGAAGGGTTTCGTGTCTACCGTTCGTGATCTCGCAACGTTTCATGCCAATCTCCAAACCGATGCCATGTGCTCAACAATATATCTCCTCTTCAGGCACTGGTAGATCCGCCTCAATTCCAGGTCCCTCAGCCTATGCCGTCGTGTTTGGCAGCTGTCCCAAACGCTTCTCTTTCCTTAATATATATATATATATATATATACATGTATATATATATATATATATATATATATACATACATATATATATAGAGAGAGAGAGAAGCATAGAGGTCTTAATAATTACCTATACTAATTTGGTGGCTCCTTGCTATCATCATAGTACAAGGGCCCCAAACCATAATATTGACATGACTAAGGCCCCTATATCATAGACCCCTCTTGTAGATCCCTTATAGTAGCCCTCATCGACCGGTATAAAGGGAACCCTATTCGAATTAAGGCCCCCACATTAGACGCAAATCCTGCGCCCCAGCCTTACGTGGCCTCCCACGTTGCCCGGAAGCATTGTTGAAGTCCGTATCCAGAGACTCCAATATCCCTTATTAAGGAAGACTTAGGGTTACAGTAGAAGCCCGAAAGTTGGAAAACCAATAGCCTCAATCATTTAGAGTAATCTATAGGGCATTCCAGCTCTATTTGGCCTTAATCCGGTTTCCAACTGTATAGGGTTTACTATAGGGTTCCTGTAAGGGATCTATAGGGTTTAGGGTTTGTACGGGGTTCTAATATCCCTTTATTCATTAAGGAATATAATAGATGCCTCAAGTCATACTAGGGATCCTACCATGATTATTTGCAGTACAGGGACATTGGAGTCTTTGGGAAGATGACTCTTTTGTCCTGTCTCGGAACTGTAGCCGGAGGTCATGCGCAGGCCTTTCTGAATTTCCAGTAGTCCTTGAACCACCTGTGGATGCAACAGTCTATAAGAACTACCCGAGATACTATGTAGAACATGGCGCAGGCCTTGCACGGGCCGCAGAAGGCATGCGGCTGCCTGCACAGATCCTACGGTACACACCCGAAAATTTCAGCTCGGCCACTGCTCGAGTGATCTTGCTCTAGCCCGAACCTTGGTGGAAAAGGCGCGCTGGAGTTGTGGTATACGGTCTGCTCCAAACTCGTGCGAGCGCGGATGCGCAGGTAGTTCAGAGAGCTCATCACATCGTTGCACGCTGTCGCCAGGCGTTTCTGTCGAAGTTCGTGGGGTTTTCGCATGCCCACTTCGTCCGAGTAGCCGGGGGTGAACCATGGCTTTGGAACTCGAGTACCGCAACACCTTTATCGACGTGAAGGAGGAGATCCAAGATGAAATGCCGGCTTCCAGAAACCGCGCTCGCAGCTCCCCACCGGGTCGCGTGCGCCGCAGTAGCTTCGCCAGGGAGATGAACGACGACGAGGCCGCCATGCGCAGCTACGTGGGAGGCCTCGTGCAGACGGCCATGCAGATGAGTCAGATCTCGAACACCGTTGTGGAAGATCCCAATCTGAGGTTGGCGACAGATTTCGCCCCTGTTGAGCGCGAGCAGGTGATCGTGCTCAGCGAGGGTAGCTGGGGTCACCCCGACGTGTGCCGTCGCCCTTGCATTCACTTCATTTCCGGCTACTGCGAGAATGGTAAGGATTGTGCTTACTGCCACCTCCCGCACGCGGAGAAGATGGTCAAGCTCGACAAGAGGCAGCGTGCTATGGTTCAACAGCTCACCCATCAGGAGCTGGTATCGGTGGTGCTCCCTTTCTGTTCCCGCAAGGCAGAGGACGGGGGATATGCGAACAAGGCAGACGAGATTCTCGGTCTTCTCGAGATGGGTTTGGATCATGCCACGTCATCGTCCGAGTCCCGGCCCTTGGCCGACCGTGAGCTCCGAAATCTACGCAAGACACTTGAAAGGATGCTGGGTTCTTATTGTTTAAGTTTTAGTCTAAGTTACCATAACAAGGAAACCATATATTACTTACTAGAGATCTTTATCATGGTAACTTAAATTAGATTCCTTGAACAACAACCCAGGATGAGCTTCTCGAGCCTCATCGGCTTGGTTTCCCGCACGCCACACGAAGAAGATGAGGACTCCTCGCTTTATGCGGCTTCCCTTATGGCAGCCTTGCAAACTCTTCGTTCGCAGCTCCATGTCCAGGTTGAGGCGCCCCCCATATAATAGTTTTAGGGGTTTAGGGTTTAGGGTTTAGGGTGCAACCTGCTGGGATCGAACAGCTATTCCGCATGGTCGATACAAACTCGGTTTCAATAGTAGGCATGTGGCCACGCGTTCTGGGCACACAGATCGGTGGTCACATGGAGCACTTTGAAACCATGCAGATACAGTTACAGCTGCTTGAGCTGCATGTCTCAACGTTGCACTGACGAGCTACACGGCTCTTGAATCAGTGTGCACGTCCCCGAGAGGGGTTGACATTGCGCTCGAGCTTGAGGCTTTTTGCCTGACAAACTTTTTTAAGTAGCTACATCTTGGCTACATGCTGATGCCTGAGCCAGGCGTGGCTTGCCAGAAGCATGCTCATTGAGTTTCAGAGAGAAGCCTCGACCCTATAACCTCCAACCTAAACCCTAAACCCGAGAAGCCTGTGTTAACGAGAGACCAGTATCTCTGCAGACCTTGCCAGGCTCTCTCCAAGAGTGAGTGTCAAAAAAACCGATAAGCCATCAATCCTTTTGTCTGCAAGCACGCGGCTTTTTTCATGCGTTTAGTGTGCCGTCCAACAGACCAGGAGATCCAGCTTTCCATGTTAGCACCGGCAGTTCCGTAGTAGTAGTAGTAGTAGTAGTAGTAGTAGTAGTAGTAGTAGTAGTAGTAGTAGTAGTAGTAGTAGCAGTAGCAGTAGCAGTAGCAGTAGCAGTAGCAGTAGCAGTAGCAGTAGTAGTACAGTAGTTGGTAGTCCAGATGGTATATATATATATATATATATGGAGTTTGTATTTCAGAATTCCAGCATCATTTGTTTACAAATACAGGGACTGCAACGCCGAATCGTTGCGATCTCGTTATTTGTCAGTAGGCACCAAGAAAGTGCAATTGCGGTGCGAACGGACTGCGATGCCTTGTCAAGTTCTAAGGTGTCACTATAAGAGCTGTGAGCAAGACCGTGTAAAGTGCAAGAGAAGGGGGCACGCTACGCGTCCCTCGACTCTGGGGGCATGCTACGCATCCCTCATCTTTACCTTTCTATGTGACCGCCAACGCAACGTTTGGCTCAAGTCAATGCCCATAGCTAAGTGCTATATGTGTCTTCTATCCTGAGCAATCAGAGCTATCCCGTTGCACAGACGAACCGCCGCCGGCAGTGAGTGCAAAAGGAACGGCCGCCGGTTCTGCCTGCATAGGATCGCACGTGTGGAAGTAAGAGGGAGAGACAGGGTCCAGTCTGTGGAGAGTGCTAGCCAGCCACACCTACATTCATTACAGCTCTGGTGGGGAGAGCAGCAACCAAGTCGAGATCAATCCCCCACGCAGGTTATCAGCCGTACGCGGCTCTGCCTTTCTACAGCAACGACTACTTGATCTACTACGACCACAATGAACTCAGGATCAAGCCAAGATACGACAATGACTTTCGGTGCCGATGTGGCAGCGCCAGCCGTTGGTGAGTCAACAGCTGACGACACAGTGGTGCAATCCGTTGATAGCTCCACGGAAGATGACAAAGGTCAATCTTCTGCGCTTGCCATTGCAAAGGCAGTTCCCAAGGGGAAAGCAAAGAGTCTACCAAGAGCATCTACGCCTTCGCGTCCGACATCCACAGGTTCGAGGACGGGCAAGGCTTCAGAACGACGGGCCGAAGCGTCTGGTTTTCAGGCACCTCGGACTACGTCCAGGGCCAAGGACAAAGGAGTCAAGACCTTGGAAAAGAAGTCAAGACCATCATCTTCGAGAAGCTCTTCAGCACGATCGAGGACTTCGGCTACTCGTGGGCGTGACAAGTCCATGACTTGGAATCGGATGGTTACCAATCAACCACGCGATGCTGACGATCTGGACATGACTCTGGATACGATTCCTGCACGTGGTGATGCGTCATCCGTGGCCACGCCTGCAATAGCTGATGGTCCGAATGCCTACCAGGAACTGACGATTTCGCAACAGTTCGAAGCATCGAACCTTGCACAGCAGATGTACTATCGCAGTCAGGTGCAAGAATACGAAGGAATCGTCCAGACCCTGATGGACAAGATCAAGGAGATGCAACAAGAAGATGAAGGATCTGGAATTCGCATTGAAGAATTGGAACGACAACGTGACCATGCATGCTTAGCCATGAGGCACATCAACAATGTCAATCAGGAGATGAAGCGAGACTATGAAACAGCTTTGTTTCGCATGGATGAACAGAACTCTGCTCAACAACGTCAAGCACATGCCGTTGCCGAGGAGTTAGCTCAACAGCTACACGTGTTCCGCACGGAGGCAGCCACTAACTTTGTGCAGTTGGAGGCAAGAGCGCAAGGCGATGGTGAGCTTATGGCACGTGAGTATGAGCGTCTGACTCATGAACTTCATGAACACGCCAGAGAGAACTTGGTCCTCCGGTCAAACACAGCAAGTTCGGAACAAGCCTTACAAGCAATGCAGGAACGATTCCACTTGGTCAAGAACCAGGAGTTGCGGGCTGTGAACGAGATCCAAGGGCTAGCTGGAAACAGCGCAGCCATTGATCAAGAACGATTTCGGCTTCGCGAACGTCTTGGTGAAGAGGAAGAGTACCGCAAAATGGCTGTGAAGAGGATGCAAGAAGCAGAGGACCGACTTCATCAGAATGAAGATCATGCAAGGCGATCATTGCCTACCTTGCACGACGAGCTGAGTGAACTCAGGAAAACGCTCAAAGCACAAGAAGATCTTCAAGCGAGGACACGCAGCGAATTGGAGGCAGCGCGAAACTCCAATCACGGAGGAGCGACACGACCTTCGAGCATGCCCATGTCTTCGAGGACTACTGAGTCTGGCTGGGAGCACGTAGGAAAGGAAGTAATGCCTGCATTTTCCGTAGGAGATGAGGTACGATCCCCTGAAATACGGTCCCCAAGTCAAGTTAGTCCAGTCGCCAAAGAGAAGTTCGCATTCTCGGAATCGGACAAGGACAAGAACCTTGTGATGGATGGAATTCCATTCACCGGTGGAAACTTCTTCACTGGCCGCAGTTCAATGCCAATCGTGGCGGATGCAATGCCCGAGCACTACGTGCCAGGTATTAGCAGCCCAGCACTTGCGCGTTCCACGCCTAGTGCAGCCACTTTGTTCGGCATACCAAGCGGATTTCATGGGAAAAGTGATGCGGCAGCCGTGCGTGATCGACAGCTACGCGAACTCTTGGAGGATCGCGGGATGTTGGGATCGAAGTCCACAGCATCGGCCAGCTCCTCAAGACCTGTTGGTATCGACGGTGTTACCGCATCTACGAAGGGCAACGACCTCATCGGTCCCCCTATTGCCTATGACGATTCCATTCATGAAGCAAGAAGACGTCAGATCGAGAAAGAGGTCGCGGAACGGTACGAGGAGAAGATTGCCGATCTGCGAAGCGAAGTACTCAAGGCCCAGAAAGCCGAGCAACGTCTCAGAGCTGATCGTGATGAATGGAGGTTATTCGCTGAAACGATTCAGGAGGATAATGGAGACGGTGACGGTGACGAGGGTGGCGACGAGAACGAAGATGGAGAGCACGATGAAGGAACCGGCACGGGGTATGACCCTCCTGACCCGCCTGACGATGATGATGATAAGAAGAAAAGCGGTGGAGGCAAGCCTGAATCGGATCCTGGCTCGCATGCACGTGATCCTGATGGAGATGCGGATCCTGAAGTCACAGAGGTGAGAATTTCCAGGAGGGAAGCCGACAAAGTGACTGTTCCTCCATGGCCTACTCTCACTCATCTCAACAACTGGCGATCCGTGTGCACGGCCAATGTCTTAGGGGCATCAGCCGACCCACATCATGAGGACTGGATGTTATGGCTGGCACCAGCGTTCAACCCATTCCCTGATGTCGAAGCATTGAATGATTCAGGACACAAGAAGTTCAAGAGCATAGACGTCAAATTGGGGATCGCCATGGTCGCAATGCTACGTGCCGGTGGTGACAAATCAGCTGACCTGTACCTTGAGGTGAACCGGAAGGCCAACGATTACATCAGCAGGCCTGACGTGAAGATCATCAAAGGACGACAAGTCATTGCGATGATGTACGAAAGTTTTCGAACGCATGATCGTCTTGACATGATCATCACTCTTGAGTATTTGGTGAAGCTCCAGTACCAAGGCGACAACAAGCTTCATACGTTCAAGCAGACGTGGTTGGAAGTTCTGGGACGGATGAGACCAGAGGACATTCCATCCAAAACAGCTCTCCGTGATTGCTTGTACAGCAAGATCAAGGACTCGCCCGCAATGAAGATGGAGTTGGGCATGCATTACGAACACTTGCCCTACAATCATGAAGACCGATCGTACGACAACCTGATGAAGATCATTGATCGTACTATCATGCGGAGACGAGAACAGTCAAATCTCACTCAGACCCAAATTGGCTTGCGCCAGATGCTTGAGGGCAAGGATTTGCTTGCTGCACCGGCCAAGGTACCCGAGAAACCTACGCCTAACGCAGCTCCATCCGCAAAGGTCAAGGCTTCGCCGACCAAGCCGGATAAAGCAACACCTGTACTACCTCAAAGCAAAGCGAAGAGTCATGCGAAGACCAAGCCAAAGCCCAAGAAGAAGACGAGGAGTGAGTCAGCGGACAACAGAGGTGACAAAAGCAAGAAGCAAATCCGCTGCAAGTTCCATTTCACAGATGCAGGGTGTCGAAATGGCGATAAGTGTCCATTCAGTCACTCGAAGAAGACTCCAGAGCGACCCTTCACGCCGAGGACGAGAACTCCAAGTCCATCTGGAGGAGGAGGAAACAGGATATGCTACTCGTTCAAGAACACAGGCTCGTGCTCAAGAGAGAATTGTCCTTTCAAGCATGAGGCAGCAGCTACCCCAGCTCCGGAACCAAAGGCAAAAGCTAAAGCTAAATCCGAAGCGAAGGCAGCTCCAGCGAAGCCGAATGCCAAGGCCAAGGCACTCCCTGCGGCACCCGCCATCAGATTGTGTCGAAGGTGGAATCCATCAGCTCCGGCTATATGGAAGCGATCTTCAAG